TTGACCAGCGAATTGTTCTAATATGTGTGACCACGTGTTGAATCACATGGATCTTCAGCCCATCCATGCATTCTCTGGGGTCCTGGAGCACCAGATGTTGCTCTGGTTTTCCTGGGGTTCCCCGGGATCCCACTCTCTCCACCAGAGACTGTGCCCCCTTCCCAACCAGTCCCCCTCTCTCTTGCTTAAATTAACATGGCTAATTTTAGACACTTCCTGATTACTCCTCCCTGGACCTCATTAGTGGAATTGAAACATTTGGAGCCTCAGCTGGAGGAGGAGCCACTTTCATTGGTCCTGGTCTGTTTTCCATCTCCATGTTGCTGTTGATGTTGGCTGCCTTGGAGAAAAGCAAAACGAACTCTCTCCCTAAGAGAACGGACCACAGGCTGTTGGCTGAGTGCCTGAGCCAGGGGATGAGGGGTGAAGGCACATATGTCCAAGGGGATATGCCCACCTATGATGGCAGGCACATGTTTTGCTCCTAGTACATCTGAAGGATGCATAGGCATTCATTTTTCGTTTATATAGTCATTCAACATTTAATGATCACTTAGTGATCACCAGACACTAAACTATCCTATATTCTAGGTCCTGAGGGTAGAAAAACATCTAAAAAATGGCTTCTGCTTGCTGAGAACTTCCAATCAGGTAGGTGTGATGGACCAACATGTGACCACCAACCCTTGAGACCCATGTACAGGTATGTGAAGGGTACTCATCTTTGAGTATTCCAGTCTAGGTTCTGTCTAAGGATTTTATATGAATTTGCTCACTTAATTCTCACAATAACTTTATGAGCGTGAAGAAGGACCACCTAGCTTAGTGCAAAGTGGGAGCAAAGAGCAGGCAGGGAAGGAAAAGCAAAGGGAAGGAAGGGCATTCCAAGCAGAGGGACTGGCATTTCCAAAAATATGGAGGCTCCGGACTTCCCTGGCAGTCCAGTAGCCAAGAATCCACCTCGCATTGCAGGGGACATGCGTTCGATCCCTGGTCAGGGAACTAAGATCCCACAAGCCTCGGAGAAACTAAGCCTTTGAGTTGCAAATAGTGAGCCTGCCAACTAGAAAGAAGCCCTTGCAAAGCAATGAAAAGATCCCGCCTGCCACAACTAAGACTGGATGCAGCAAAGCATAAATAACAAATACAATATTTCTTTAAAAAGATGTGGAGGCCTCCCTCCCAACAGAAATCAAGTTTGGGGATCTGTTTACCTCTTTCTGCAATTCTTTTTCTCTGCCCCAGAGGAAAAGATCCCTGCGAATATCTTAAAGTTGGTGACACCTGTTGATTACAAGACTTTCAAGCATCTCCAGGGAATTTTTATTCCACTGAAAACAGACTCCTGCAATAGCCTTGTCTCCTGTTGGATTTGCACCTTATCTAATAGCAATGTGGCTGGGAGCCTATTAATCTGCTCACCCCCACTGCCATCATTTTCCTGTTTCTTGCTCCTCCCCGTGCTCTTGTAAATTGATTCCAGAAGCTCTTTTCTCACTTTTAGTCTAGAGCCTCCTAGGTTGACTCCTTCTCCTCCACTAGCAGCTCATTTTCTCACGAAACTATTCATCAAGTTCTCTCTCATCTCTTCTCTTTGAGTCCTAGTCCACCTGGGACTGTCTCAAAGCAGGGTCCACAGCCCAGAGACTTCAACAAATTCAAGATAAATGGGCCATAGCAGCAGGTGTGGTCAGTGTCCATTTGTGACCGGCCAGGGCTGCACACCATAGCACTCCGCGTCTTCTGACAATGTGATGCCCAAACTGGGATTTGTGTGGAATCTAAACCACAGGCTTTCTGTGGTACTCAAACCCTAGCATAGGAAATGGAGAGGGGATTTGAAGAGCACGGAGAATTGCCAGCACAATTTGGGTGACAAAGGAGATACTTCTAGAATCGCTGAGAAAAGCGATCCTGGGAGGAAGGCGAGGTCAGAAACACTGATGCTTACCCTTCCGGATCAGATGGCCCAAGAATCTCAGCACACTTGACCTTCACTGCCACTTTTCAGGAACTTCAAGCTCCTTCAAGGGCCAAGGACACACCGCCCTTTCCCTCTCTCCTGCACCTTCTTTGTCCTAAAGCATAGAGAAGTTCTGAGCTCCAGTCTGGGATGGGGGAGTCAAGGAGTCCTGAATCTGGCCTCAGAGAGGAGAGAATGGTACCTCTCAAGAAAGCCAGCTCCCCTCCTGCCTTGGGTCTTGGCTCCGTGTGATGATCCTCTCCAGAGCACTCGAGGCCTAGCGTCTTTTTTTAATGGGAACAAGAGACTCGTAAATCCCCAAGCCAGACTCCCTTGGAAGCTCCTGGCTCAGCGTTTGCCTCCTGGGCTCCCTGCCACGGGGAGCGTCTCCCATCTGCCCGCCCTCTCTCCCAGACTTCATCACGCATTGAATTCTGGCTCCAGCCGGGCAGTCTCGACTGCCTGGCCCAGACTTGGGCCTGCTCTGGTTACTAAGGGTAAGCATCTTTGGGCTGAACTATAATCCTCAAGGCCCTCTGAAACTTGGGGCTGCTGGATCAAGAGATGCTGACCCAGCATCTTGGGGAACATTTGAGAGACAAAATTTGGAGAAACCCGGATAGGCATCAAACCAGGAGTTTAGGTGAAATCTACCTACAGTTCCCCTTTCCTCAAGTGGAGGCCCAGACACACAGGTCCACCCGTTCTTCCTGTGGCTCCTCCAGGGGAGCTGATCTCCCTCCATGTCCAGCTGTCCATCTGAGTGTCTGTCTCTCTGCCACTCTGATCAGGGGGCTCCAGGCCCCTCCCCTCTCGTCGTCCTTTTTTTTTTTTTTGATAATTTTATTTGTTTATTTTTGGCTGCTCTGTGTCTTTGTTGCTTTGCCTGGGCTTTCTCTAGTTGCGGTGAACAGGGGCTTCTCTTTAGTTGTGGTACACGGGCTTCTCGTTGCGGAGGCTCCTCTTGCACAAGGCTCTAGGTGCGCAGGCTTCAGTAGTTGTGGCCACACAGGCTCAGCAGTTGCGATGCACAGGCTTAGTTGCTCTGACGCATGAGGGATCTGCCAGGACCGGGGATCCAACCCATGTCCCCTGTAGTGGCAGGCGGATTCTTTACCCCTGGCCCACCAGGGAAGTCCTCCCCTCTTCCTCTTCCAGTCAACCTCGTCCTTCAGCTAGAGGTCAGGCACAAGGGCCTCCAGGTGCAGCCTGTGCTCAATGAGAAGAGTCAACCCCGCACTGTCAAGCCGATCTGTCAAGAAGGCTTTAGGGTTTGTAATTAGGAGGGCCAGATGGCCTCCTTCTTTAGTCTTTTCTGGCTCCCTCACTACCCAACCCCCCTCCCCTTCCCCCTGGCTTGTAACTTGACTTTTTAAGATGGAATCAAAAATTGAAAAGAAAGAAAAAAAAAAAGATAGAAGGACTACTAACCTTCACTCCCTCCCCATATTCTAAAAATCACTTTGGGTCAGGTCTTACTTCTTGACTCCTGGTGTCTTTAAATGTCCTTAGAATTCGCAGGACAAAGTGTCTGATGGAGGAAATTGATTCCTGGAGGTTGTCCAAGGAAGGAGGTTTCTGTCCTTTGTGTTACAGCTGTGGGGCTGAGCCTGGAACCCAGACGTCCCTGTGTTCCAGCCTCCATTGGAGCTAACAGGGTAGAAACAACCAGGAGGCCATGGGGAGCCCTGGAGGGCCGGCCAGGCGTGAGCCCTAACTGCAGGGCAGCCTTGGACCAGAGTTTTCTCCTCGTTGGGTCTCAAGGTTTTCATAGACAGAGAACACTTCTGCTTTTGAAGGTACTTCAGATAAGCGACTGCAGGAAAAGGAGTGACTTGCTAGCAGCAGCTCCTATGAGAGGTGGATGACAGCTTATAGGATTTTGTGGTGGCGCTGGTCTGTTTTCCATTTGGGGGCTTCCCTGTGGCTCAGCTGGTAAAGAATCCACCTGCAGTCCGGGAGACCTGGGTTCCATCTCTGGGTTGGGAAGATCCCCTGGAGTAGGGAATGGCTACCCACTCCAGTATTCTAATATTCTAGCCTGGAGAATTCCACGGACTGTGTAGTCGATGGGGTCACAAAGAGTCAGACACGACTAAGCAACTTTCACTGGCCTGCTTTGCTTAAAACATGGAGAGGATGGTTGGCTCTGGGGTCGAGAGCGGCTGGCTGGAGAAAGTGGCTGAGGATGAGTCATTCGTCATGGGCACTGTCCTCATGGTGGTGCCTGCATTTTGTCTGGCCACGTTTGGGAGAGTCCGCCTGGGGGTGGGGACTTGACTGGGTTCCAGCCTTCTGGAGGTGCCCCCTGCTCACCACCTGAGGTCCCTGTGAACATTATTGTTTATTATCTGAGCAGTTTCGAGAGAGGCCCCTGACTTGAGAGGCTGGGGGCCTGGCCCTGGGTGGCACTCCACGGCTCTGCGGGCATCAGGTGCGGCCACCTGCAGGGGCTGGCCTGCTAAAACAGGTACTGCTGGATGGGACCTCAGAGCTGGACAACAGTTAGGTCACAAGGCCCTCCCTTAAGACCACGCACCAGTTCCAGGAAGAACTGGGATCTCACCCAGGTTTGTCTGCTCCAAAGCCTGCCCTTCCCCTTACACCAGATGGAGAAGCAGGATGAGGAGTAGGGGCTTTCAAATCAGCCTATAGATGAGGAAATTGGATTCTTCTACCTTTCTCTCTGTAAAAAGACTGGGAAGAGAGACATGAAATTGCTGCGGGTGACTCCATGTCACTAGCGGAGTGAAGACGGAAGTGGTGATGTCTTATCAGATCCGGTTCCCCTCCTCTGCATCGCCCCCACCCCGCCCCCACCCCCGGCCTGTGTTGAGATACCAACAGCCCATCACTGAGCACCCGTTGTGTGCCAGGCCCGCTGCAACTGGCCCAGACGAGTGACCCCCTTAGTCCTGTGCAGTCACGGCAAGGGGGCCTCACTCGACTTTAAGCAGGAAACTGAGGCAGGGAGACGTTAAGTGACTTCTCACTCGCTCAGGGAGCCTGGGGTGTGCCTCCTGGTCCGGGCACTAACCACCGAGCCACGCAGCCCCTGGGGAATGCTTCCAGTAGTAGCTCCGTGGCCACTTCTCCAAAGGGGGCTACACTCTGGCTGGAGTGGGGGGAGGTCAACATCCTCTGGTCCTCAGGGGGTGGCCCCACATCCCTCAGCTGCAGGGAACCTAGAAATCAGATGAGGCAAGGCTGGCCCTGCTTTGGGAGGGGGCCCCTCCCTTCTCCTGCCTCCCTCAGGCCCGGTGGCGGCAGGGTGACCCTGTGGCCTGGATTCCAGGGCTGTGAGCTTCATACGTGCCTCACAAGGGAGGCTTACAGCAGCCCCAGGGGGCAGGGCATTTGTAGTGGCCTTGGTGACCGTGCAGCATGGCAGGGACACCTGACCTCAAACGGAGGTGACAGCAGCTGCCTCCATTCTTCAGCTCTTTCCCCCTCTATCTGTGTGTTCATCAGGGAGAGGCGTGAGCGGTGTTGGAGGCAATCCAAGGTCCAGGAGGATGGAGAAACAGGAGGAGACCGGGTAACAGGCCCAAGATTTCCCCTCCACCCCCTCCCTGGGATGCTCCCCAGTCACGGACTGTGCCGTCCTTGCTCTCCCAGACCAGCCAAGCAAGCTGCAAACCCACGACGGAGGCCAAGTGGAGCTGGGAGGACGCTCAGCCTGGCTCCCCTTGCAATAAACAGTAGTAGGAAAATGCAGCTGTTTGTGTATAAACTAAAGCTTCTCACAGCCCCGGAAGCCTCTGACTCGGGGCCCACAGGCTTGGAGCAGAGAACACTGCGGGGAGAAACATCATGTGTGAGCTGTGACTGCTGGGTCCCGTGCATCCTGCTGCCCACCTCACCCTTCTGCACTCTCTGACCTGGCCTGCCGCCCTCCTCTCATCGGCGCTGGAGCCCAAACACAGCCCAGTGCAGGAACATCTGCTTCTCATGCTCTGGTCTCCTGCACAAACAGAGCTGGTCTCAGGGGCAGGAGGTGGGGTGGGGTGAGGGCTTTTGGGTGCTGTGAAATGTGTCAGAGAAGGGGCGCAGGCACTCGGGACCCCTGTCATCCACGGGGATACCCAGAGCGGATCCTTACCCTGAGGGCGGGGTGGAAGCATGAGTTTGATGCTAAACAGAGTTCACTCTGCAGGGCGGGAGGGCGGGCAGCCCTGGGGAGGAAAGATTGGAGATCAGGTGCGGAGAAAGGCCAAAGTGGTGGTGGTGGGGGGGCATTCGGTCCATTTTGGCGTTAACTGGTTATGCAAATAAAATGCAAATTGGCCCTTTATTGTATTTTAGTCAATAGCCAGGCATTTTTTATCTTTGACTGGAAGCTTTGGTCTCTGTAGGTCCCAGCAGGTCACCAGGTGGGAGGGGGGCTGGCAGCCTCTGAAAGAGGAGGATGGGAAGGGAGGGGTCATCCCTTTCCTCTGCCCAGTAGCTGTCACCCCAAAGGGGCTGGGGAAGGGGTACTGGCGGCAGATAGACCCCCGGAGTCCCTCCTGTGGGCCCTCTGATGGCAGCACTGACGTTCACAGGCCGGGTGTGCGGGGGCTGGGGGTGGAGGGGGCTGGGCCTGATGGATGGGCCCTGGCAGCAGCTCAAGCCGCCCGCTGGGGGTCGGGGCCCAGGCTCCTCCGTGCAAGGTCAGGCTGAGGGCGGAGGGACTCTGGCGGCTGAAGGGTCCATGGGGTGGGGGGCGGGGGCTGCTGGGAGGGCTCTAGCGGTGGGTGCCTGGGGGGAAGAGAAAGGACAGGTCCCACGTGGGGGGGGAGTAAATGATTGTCGGGGGAATGTGCCCAGCCAGGATCACATTTTGTGTTGCTGGGCTTCCTAAGGGACAAACCTGCCTGTATTTTATGTGGGTTCCAGGGTGCCCATGTTGGGGAAGGATGGAGTCCAAAGGCAGCACACAGCCGAACACACACACACAGACACACACTCTCCTTTTATTTTTTAAAAAGAGGGAATCTGGTTTCCATGGAAACCTGACCACTTACAGGTCTGATGCGTCTAAACTGACATTCTTGGATGTAAATCAGGTCTCTCCTCCCACCTGTTTCCCCAGAGCCCCAAAGTGCAGCGTTGGAGTCCCTCCTGAGCAGTCCCTGGGGGCCCACTCTCTCCCGGACAGGCCCACACGCCTTCCCCTCAGGTGCCCGAGAATTGCGGGGTGGGAATGAGGGGGGCAGCCCTGTCGATTTCTGCCTCGTGGTCACAAAACCAGGACCCAGGTGCCGTGTCCTGAGAGGTCGGCTGCTGTGCGGTAGTTGGGGGCAAGTTCAGCCCCAGGGATATCCCTGGGTCTGAGTGAGAGGGAGTCGGGATGTCCGTGGACCTTAGCGGGTGCCTAGACGTGGCTGTCACCACCTTTCCCTCTTTCCAACATGTCCTGCAGGCCGCACCATCACCTGAGCATCATCTCCCAGAAGCCCTTTCGGGGGCCAGGAATCCGAGGGACTGGCCCCACTTGGTGGTGAGAATCTTGCTTCACTGAGGGGAACGTTCTCCAGGGCGGCTCAGGGTCGAGGCAACGAGGTTGGGGCAGGACCAGCAGACAGCTGTCACAGCGGCTGCCTCCTCACTTCATAAATTCCCCTGCCATTTCCCTAGGATACCTTGATTTTGACCTCCGTGCAGGGAGCAAAGTCCTTTCTTTGTGTCCTAATAAACAGCCTCAGCCGGGGCTGGCTTCCAGCTGTTCGGCGGCCCCTTGGGCCCCACCCCCTCAGCCTAGAGGCTCTTTCTCCCCGTGAAGTCTCATTAACTGGAGGCTTGGGGCCAAGGCAGGGCCCTTGCAGGCCATCTCTCTCCTTATTAGCACAATCATTTCTGTCTGGCATGATGGCCTGTGCTTCTCCTGGAAGCCTGTCTGCACAGAGGCCCCTCGGAGGCCGTGGAAATTCTGCCTTGAGTCCTCAGGGTGCCCAGGGCATTTCTCCACTGTGGTCATTAGCACAAAGGCCCTGTGGGTGTGGGGGGACTGCCTAGGTCTTCTCAGGGCCCAAAGGAGGCAGCGCTGATGGATCAGATGCCGAAGATGGGTCTCTAACACCTTCTCCCTCAAAGCCGGCCCTGATCTTTGTGAAGAAACTCCATTCCTGGTGGCATTTGCCCACTGTCAACTCAGGTCACCCAGAAGGTATTTGTGGGCCTGCACACAGCTCTCTCCCTTCCTAAAATTCAGTGCAAAACTTGAACTGGGCAAGAGAAATCTCAGGAGGAACTTAAGATGTCCTTTGCAGGGGGATTTCTCCCTGGACATCTGAGACTGGATTTTTAGGCTCTTCGCTGTACACCAACTCCCTCCACCCCTGAATTTCAGTCTGCAAAATCCAAAGTGCTTTCCACTTCCTCCTTCTTGAATCGGTTGTGTAGTGGTTAAGAACCAAAGAAGTGGAATCAGACAGGCTTGGGTGCAAATCCTGTTGCTACTGTTTGCTAGCTGGTTGACAGGGGAACTTCTCTGAACTGCTCTGAGCCTCAGTTTCCATGTCTGGAAAATGGGTGTGATGGAAGTAATACTGAGCTTTGACAAAAGAGAATGCCTGTAACACATATGTTATCAGCTGTTATCATCCTGAGGACAAGCAATGTGCATTTGTACATAGAGTCTCAGGGAGGTGTGTCCTCTTCTACCTGGGTCAGGACACGGGATTATGTATGTTTCCCACTTGCCTCCATGCAGGGAAGCCTCAAAACAGCCTAGAAAGTTTGTTTTAGCAGGGAAAGGTTTTTTTTTTTTTTTTTCCTAAAGAATACTTGCAGATAGAAAGGATCCACAAGGCTCTGTGAATATTGGGAACGGGAAAAGGAATGCAATGGCCATATGCAGGGGTGGGAGGAATACACTCCGTCACAGGTCTTTGTGACTCTTGTTCTGTGTCTACATTATACAAAACTGACTTAAAAAAAAATGTATATAACATTTAAAAATTAAATATTAAAAACATACAAGGAGACACACTGGGACAGCAATCCTTAAACTTTTTTTTTTAATCAAAGTATAGTTGAATTATAATGTTGTGTTAATTTCTGCTGTACAGAAATGTGACTCAGTTTATATATATATTTATTTTTCTTTCATAGTCTTCTGCATTATGATTTATCACAGGATATTGAATATAGTTCCCTGTGCTAAACAGGGGGACCTTGTTATTTATCCATCCTATGTTTAATAGTTTGCATCTGCTAATCCCAAACTCCCAATCCATCCCTCCCTCACCCTCTGTCCCCCTTGGCAATCAAAAGACTGTTCTCTATGACCCTGATTATGTTCCTGAATCATAGGTAGATTCATTTGTGCCCTATTTTAGATTCCACATACAAGTGATATTATACGGTATTTGTCTTTCTGACTTACTTCACTTAGTAAGAAAGTCTCCGGTTGCATCCATGTTGTTACAAGTGGCATTATTTCATAGTTTTCGTACGGCTGAGTAGTGTGGTGGCTTAGCTGCTAAGTCATTTTCCGACTCTTGTGGCCCCACGGACTGTAGCCTTTCAGGCTCCTCTGTCCACGGGATTCTCCAGGGAGGAATTCTGAAGCAGGTTGCCATTTCCTTTTCCAGGGGATCTTCCCGACCCAGGAATTGAACCCAGGTCTTCTGCATTGCAGGGGGGTTCTTTACTGACTGAGCTACGAGGGAAGCCCTGTATGGTTGAGTAGTAGTCAATTGCATGTATGTATGTATATATATATATATAGTCCACAGGGTAGCAAAGAGATGTACACGACTTACTGACTGAGCATGCATGCATGCACTTTTTTCTTCAAGGTTTAGCTCAAATTCCACCTCTCTGTGAAGTCCTATCTCTTCCTACCAAATCAGAATTCACCTCCCAATCCTTCCACATATGTTTTCACTCATTTCTCTAATCTAGCTCTTTCCTCCAGCCTGTTTTACATTATCTCTAGTCATTTGGATGCTACACCCGCTATTGACTTAGAAGGCCCCCAAGGACAAAGACCACAGCTCAGACCAGTTCTAGGGTTTCCAGCTCAGGGCCCAGAACATCGTTAGGTTCTCCATCAATGCTTAAGAAAGCGTGAGTGGGTGAGTGAGTGGCCTTAGCTCTCAGGACCTCCCTGATAGGTCCTGTCTCTTTGAACCTCAGTTTTCCAGCTGTAAGATGGGGGTTGAAATGATGGCGCCACCTGGGAGAAGTCAGCCGGGTT